GAAGGTGGGGCTGGGGGGGCCCCCCAAACCCTCCTCACAGGTGGTTTCCATGGCAATCATGTAGGACTCGAGGTCATCATTGAAGTCATCCAATGGGTTGGGCAGGTGGGACACACTGGGGAGAGTGCAGGTTGTTCACTCTGGTCCCTACTGATGGCAGTCAGCTGTGACTGTCACCTTCCTTGGATAGGTGCCACTTACCCATTGGTTGTGGGGGGCTGTGAGTCAATTTTTGGGTCAGAGAGGGTGGCCAGCACCAGGTGGACCTCCAGCACAGCATCATCCAGGGTGAAGACCACTGGCCTGAGGACACACAGGAGCTGAGAGGGGTGCTGGGGACGACTGGCACAGGGTGGGCACAGGAGCCAGTCCTACCTGCCAGGCACGTCGAAGTGAATGGTGAGGGGCAGGCTGGAGGCTTCAGCAAAGCTCAGCAGTCCCTGGAGACAAAGGGAAGGGTGAGGGGACAGGGGGTGACACAGGGTTGGTGGCACCGAGGTGGGGACTCACCCGAAATTCCTTGAGGCAGAAGGTGATGCAGGAGCCTGGGGCCACAGCCACGCACTGGAACTCTTCCTCAGCCAGGCAGAGCTCTGTCACCATCGTCTTGCTTGGCTCTGAGGTGGCAGGGAGCTGTGAGGGGGCTGTGCCAGCACCCCAGGGTGGGCAAGGGGCACCCCAAGGTGGGCAAGGGGCTCCTCACCTGCCTCATCCTCCACGTAGTTCCGGAGGCTGATCTTGCCCCTGGGGCCAGTCCCCAGTGTCACCTCAGCCAGTGTCTGGGGGAAGTGGACCACGGCCTCTGCCAGCACGCTGAGGGACACATAGAGGGGGCTGAGCACCCCAAATCCCACAGGGCCAGCTGGGCTACCCCTTACATCCACCCTCATCCATCCCTGTGTGCTGCCTACACCAGTGCCACCCCCATGGTATTCACCAGTGTCCCCCCTTTGTCCTGCCCTCACCAGTGCCACATCCCTCCCCTCTGTCATCCCCAGTGCCACCCCCATGGGGTCCCCTCTGTCCCCCCTCACCGTGCCGGGGCGCAGAGGCAGTTGGCACAGCTCTGAGTGTCGAAGACAGCCTGGAGCCTCTCGCACTCCTGGAATGCCAGGTTGTGTGTCTTGGTGACACCTGGCCAGGAGGACAGTGCTCAGCAGGGCAGGACACGATGCCAGCAGGTCCCCTGCTGTGCTCTGTCCCCCACCAGGCCCCAAGCACTCACCATACTTGCAGTGCAGCTGCAGGACCAGGCGGCTGGCGCTGGGCTTGAGCAGGATGAGGCATTTCCCCACCAACTTCTCCAGTGAGGGCAGCGAGCGGAAAATGCCCAGGAAGGACTGTGGGCAGGGGAGGGGCATAGGGATTGTCACCTGCCTGGGCACCCCTGGAACAAGGGGGAGCTTTAGGGGGCCCTGGGCAGGGAACTGCACCTTCATGTGGACTTTGCATCGGAATTGCTCTGTGTGGGGCTTGTACAGCTGGAAGAAGAGCGGCGCGAAGAGGAAGGATGCGAAGGCGGAGCGGGAGGAGTTGACAGCACGCAGAGACAGCTGTGGGATACACACACACACACACACACACTGCCTGCAGGGCTGCAGAGGGTACAGGTGCCCTCCTACTCCCAATCAACCCCCTGGGTGCTCCATACCCCACTCTCCGTGGGCTCCAGGTAGAGCTCCTCGCCGATGCGGGACAGGGCATGCACGGCGCGGCCGAGGACTGGCAAGGAGAGGGTTG